GAGGTTGACTTACAATGTCTTTATTTCTCTTCATGACAAATTGAAATGACTGCTGTCTGAAAAAGTTTGACTGGTTCAAGGGTGTTGGTGTTGTAAAATACCTAGACCACGGTTACCACAATACCACTGTTTTACAAAAGCAATCTCACGGCAGTTTGTAACTTTTGATTTAGTTGCTAATTCTTATAAACTTTTACAATCTCATTTGTACATTTTAGTATATTTTCTGACAATACGTGAACTAAAATAGAAGTTTCCTTGTGAGATCAGGCTGATTTTACACCTTGACTTGCTTCCTCATCACATCAGCGCACAAACAAGCAAAATACACATAGAAATTACTGCATTTTATTCAGGGATTCAAAATAATGCAAAAATGAGAGTGGATTTACAGTAATGATGCACTAAAAAGTGATTTTATTTATTTATTTTTGTGTACAGATGAAAATTTGTCAAAATGATCGCAATCAATTCGTTAGTTCATGACCAGAATGAAAAATACCTAATAATTTACCCTTTTGTCATCTATCTATATATATATATATATATATATATATATATATATATATATATATATATATATATATATATATATATATATATATATATATATATATATATATACACACACACACACACACACACACACACACACACACACACACACACACATACACACAACAATTCTGTCTGGTTCTCAAATCTGATTGGCTGGTAGCCATGCAATACTTTGCAATACAGAACTCTTACAGCCTCTTCACTTTTGTGTATTACTCCACCCACATAGAGTGACAGCACATCAGTAGACTCATTAGAATTTGACAAATATTGCAGCATAATGTACTTTTGAGGCGTTTTCAATCGAGAATAAGCATTGTGTCTATTTTAAATATAGATCATTTCAGAGATTCAGTGCATCGGCGGGAATCAGGCTGTCATACTGAGCAGAGCTAAGACAATTGATGTTCCTCCACAAAATGGCGGCAGAGACCACATAATAAGTCCTTAGAGAGAGAACATTTTTCATTTTCTCAGTGTTTCAAATTACAATTGAACGTATTATTACAGAACAGGTAAGTGAAATTCTAAGTTGATCTCTCTTTTATATGTTGCTTTATGTATACTATTGTGATCTGGTAGTGTTTGCTTTGCTTTGGATATTTGGGGCTTAATTATTGTGAAATCCCATTTGCAACAGAGAAATACTGAGTAATCTCTGTGGACTGATGGCATTTCATGCTGTTTAGCCTTATAATCTTAAAATGTGAGAAAAATCACCTGTTTTGTCATCACTTTTGACATTATGCAAGAGAATCATTCAAATATTAGCTCTAAAGTGACGTTGGTGAATTAGCAATGGTTTCTGCTGTTCTGAAGTCAGCTGCAGATGTGAATGAATAGTGGAGGAAAGTAGTTCCTCGTACAAAAAAACACTTAATGTTTGATTTTCTTTTTTATACATGTTTATGTCATCAAACTGTTGTATAAACGCAATATCACACTCGTAGCACTGCGATATGGCTGTAAATTGTCTCTGGTGGGACACTAAGGACTTGGCCTCAAGCCAACGCATGCCTCCCAGCAGTGCCGATATAGAGCTATAACACATTGTATATATTTAAAATAGTTTCCAATTTGAAGTAAAAAAATAAATAAATAAAAAAACCACAAACTATCAGGGAATTTTCATTCTGGAAGTGAACTAATCCTTTATTAACATAGATCTGTGAAACCAACCAATAATGCTTTATTATTCATGCTAGACCAGTATGTCCCAGCGATGACCCTTTTGCCATTGCAATCTCACGGCAATCCATAAACATTTGATTTAGTGGCTAATTCACATTCATTTGTAAGATTTAGTATGATCCCACAACGAGGGAGAGGTTTAGGGATGGGGTTTGGGGCACTCATTTAAAAAAAAAACTGTTTAATACTTATAAATTGGCCATTTTTCTGACAATACGTAAAATAGTTACATTTCCTCATGAGATTGGGCTGCTCATAGTCTCATAGTCCACCACTGTTGTTGTAGGCCCTTAAGTACAACTGTAATGTAAATGATCAGGGGCCCGTTTCAATAAGGAGGTTCAACGAACTCTGCATTAACTCTGAGATTGTAAATGGTGAGTTTTGTGGTTTCAGAACAGCTTAATTGAGTTCAATTGATCAACTCTGAGTTCGTCTCAATCATCACCCTTGTTCAGAAGTCTGATCACTAATCTGCACTGATGAGGCTGTCAGCCATTTTAAGTGCAGTCTCAAAATTCGACCAGTGCACTGAACTGTTTGCGGTCTGAAAACTCTCACAATGCACTGTGAAAATCAGGGCACATCAATATGCACTATATGCCCTTAAAGGAAGTTTGGAAGCCTGAAATGTGATTCACGTGGTCTAAATTATCAAAATAATGACAAAAGAGAGAAGTTTTACTAAATAGAATACATTATTTATTTATTTTTTAACATGAGCGAACATACAGTTGCTAGATGGGTTGGGAAAACGTAGGACAAATGTATAATCATGTATTGGTTAAATTGTTGCTGGTATATGAATCAATGAAATTATTTAGCTATAATGAACTTAAAATTAATATATGAAAATTTGTTCTGCTGTTGTTTGTAAATTTTTGATGAGGCACAATGAGTACAATCTCTTTTCACACTCATTGTGTCCCAGTGTGTAGTGAACCAAACCCACCACTGCCCTTATTGGTGCCTGAATTTGCACACACGATCAATTGATGAACAAACTCAGGAGCTAGGGTGCTGATTGAGTTGGACTCTGAGTTAATCTTGTGTTACATGACTGTAAAAATACATCATCGATTAAGCCCCAATATTATGATTCACCGTGGCAATGGCAGAATGGTATGCTTTTGAACTAACAACCTAGACATTATATATGGTCAAATTATTTTGTTTATCATTGGCATTAACATTAGTTTACAACCCAGGGTCATTCTGAATACGTACTGTTACAGTATATACATTTCTAAGGAGGGCCAAATGTGTCCCAGGAGGTACTTTTATTGCAGCTTTAGTTTTCACGAATCTGCCAGAGGCCACTGTGTACGCTTTTTGAGATCTCAAATTTCTCTCTCGGACCTACTGACCCACCATTCTCTTCCCTAAACCCAACCAATAGTGTTTTCAAAAGCACAGATTGACCAGTCCACCCACATCCCTAAACCCGACCGACAGTTTTAAAAAGCAATCTAGAAAATGAAAAAAAAAACGGTACCTGATTTTTACCATGTTCACAAATTTTACCACATTTGCACCCTGTTGCATGTTTATTTTTTAGCTTCTGTTTTTGTCTTACCCGCTTTCTGGAACTGTTCTTTGCCAGACTCAAACCCCATCCTTGTGGTCAACTTCTCTCTGCATCTCAAGTCCTCCGACGTACATGGCAAGCTACTAGACAAACTGGTAAAAGCAGGAAAAGCCGTTCAGCGTGAAAAAGAATGGCATCATGCCACCCTGTAATGTTTGCTTTGAAGACGAAATGCAGCGATACGTACTTTTGGCTACATTGTTCACAATGTCCAGAAATGTATATAGGGGTACGTTTTCTGAATAAGCGTATGTTGTTACTTTATTACCAACATTGAACATAATTTTACTTCAGTAAAATTCACTAGACCCCCTTAGGAAACAATTGTAAAAAACTGTAAGTAAATGATATCATTTTCTTTTATAAAAATTCCATATTGATTTAAGAATTTTTTTTTAATATTTGAACTTGAAATAAGACAAAAATACTTATTAATAAAAACATTTTTGTAGCATGAATGAATGAATGAATGAATGAATGAATGAATGAATGAATGAATGACTGAATGAATGAATGAATGAATGAATGAATGGAGTATTTTAAACATCACTTGAACTCAGGGTTTACTGAAGAAATCCTGGGTTAGGTTCACAGAGTAAGTTACCATAATAGCTCTGGGTGTGTTACTCTGCCTATTAGAAATGGGCTTGAGTTATCTCACTTTCTCAGGTTTGACACACCTCCCAATTTAAAGAAAAAAACTCAGAGTTTCCCTCATTTAAGAGTTAATATATAAAGGTTTTACTGAACCTCCTTTCTGAAACAGACATCAGCTAAAAAGCAATAATTTTTTTTTTTAGTTGACAATGTTGTAAAGATACATTCGAGACAGGGCTAAAATCAGACCTCAGCTTTCCTGTTAATGGAACAGTGTCAATTCAGCTAGACAAATCAGTTTGCTTTAAAACAGGCATCTTGATCCTAAAAAGTGGGATGAATCTCAAGATAAGCCTATTATTTTATTTTTATTTTATATTTTTAAGTGTTACACATCAGGGTGATCTACTAGGATAATTGCATTAATCAGATGTACAGGTAGAGATGAGATGAAGATGTAGAGGTATGTAGAGATGTAGAGTGCGGTCAGATGTAGAGGTATGTTGAGTAGTTTTCAGCTTGGTTAGACTGTTTTATAAACAGTCTTGTCTGTGAAAATGGTGATGAAGCATTTTCTTTATTTGAGTGGAATTTGAATTTGAGTAAATTTACCTGGATATGTTCATGACAGGTTCTGGTATTCAACAGGCATTTTTTGAAGAAAATATTACAGATTGCCAGAATTATTGCCATATTTCTGCCGCATCTATTGTAAATGTAATTCTTGTGGTTTTACACAATCGGACACCTTGAAATTCTGGCCATGGATGAAGTGCTATGTGTATGTGACAATATACTATAAGTGCTTGGACATGATACATGACAAATAGATACACTTCACCCCCCCCCCCCCCAATCCCACCCAAAAAATCCCACAAATTTCTTATAGGAATATTAGTCCATGATATTTGCTCATGACTTATGAAAAAAAGAAAATTCTTTTGGAGCATTTGCACGTATGAAGTCTTTCATCTCAGTGTTCTCTATGCTGTATATGGCTATGACCTTGAATTAATTATTTTTCAAGTGAATTTTTTTAGACGTTTACAGACAATTCTTCTTCTTCTTTTTTTTTTTTACAAAAATGAAAAGTCTACACTTTTCTAAGTTTAATTTTCAGTTCGATCCCTCTGTCAGCCAGGGACATGGACTGTGCTTATTTATTGTTTCCTTAGGGATGTCTTATTTGGCAATTGCCGCCATGCTGCTTTTTGTCCATTCTTGCATATTCCTGTGTGGTTCCTTATATTAAAGGGGACTTCTATAGGTAGGCCCATCTCTCTGAGGGACAGGTAGAACCTCGCCATGTACAACCCCTCATCAAAGGGCATAGGACAATGTCCACTGTTCTCCATCCCATTGACAGCCTGTATGGTCCCAGTGATTCTGGCCTCAATTCTGACTCCTTTCTGTAAGTTGCATGATTTCCTTCATATGTTTCAGTATGGCTTTGACTGTTTTTCCAAAAAGAGGAAGACACAATAACAAATTACCAGAGAAAGGTCTGGAGAGGAGTTTGGGAAGACTTACAAACCTCAAGTACTTCTGTAGTTCCTCTCTCAACATTATGCCCTGTCCTTTGCTACCCCTCCCACCTCTCCTTGACATAATTTTCTGTCTTTCTCAATCCTCATCTGTCCCTGCGGCCCCCCTCAGACCGTTCATACAGAAGGGCAGAGTTGGAGGAAAGGTGGGTTCGGCTGGAGAAAAGCCACTGAAGGGAGGCAGAGATGTGATCCTTTGCAGGTGAGGAAAGAAAGTGGGAGTTTTGGCTCCATGGTCTGAGCGGTGACCTTCAGTGTGAATTGTGGGCATCTCAGGTGGGGCGTAGCGAATCGTACTTGGAGCGTAGAGACTCTGAGGTCCCTGCGGGCCGAGAGCCAGGGGATGAAAAAGAACACGTCCTGCAGCCCCACTTGCAGTTAGTCTCTGCAGTAGCTCAAAGTCGGAAGCACGTCCTCCATGAATGGACCGGTCATCTCTGGGTAGGGATGATGCTGGGATGGGTGGAGACAGGGTTGGGGAGGGTGGGCTGAATAGACCCTTGGGTGGAGCTTCTGTCGGGGTGGAATTTGGAGGCTGGGAAGGTGGACTGCTGCCATTAGGTCCGCCATTGCCAAGCAGAGGTTGACTCCATCGCCTCCCAGAACCTGCACCTACAGTTGTGCCCAACACTTCTTGTTCAGTCTTAATGTTTGATCCGGAACTGGTCACCACACTCTTAAGATGCTGGATCACAGCACGGCCATTGTGGATCTTACCTGCTCCGTTAGCCCCGTTGCCTTGTTTTGAAGCCCCCTCTTCATTCTTCACCCGTTTGCTGGAGGGATTGTGGTCCCACTCGCTCTCCCTCTCATCATCCTCTTCCACCTCGCTGTCACTGGCTTGGTCCGAGGAGGTACACGGGCTGTCCTCTCTCTGACGAAACACCTCCATCCGTCTCCTTGCCTCGGGTGGCCCACTCTCAGAGTCAGTCTGGTGCAATCTTTTCCTAGTGTTCTCTGATTGACTGGAAGTATTGTGTGAGAAGGCTTCCTTTCCTTTGAGGTCTGTTTCAGACCTGCTTTTCAATGGTTGCGTCCCAGTAGAGCCTAGAAAAAGAGACAACTCAGCGTAGTAACTTATTATCGATGTGTGGATGTATAATTGTGTATGGGGCTAAGAGCATACCTTGTGTCTTTGGAGACATGTCGCGCGGGGAGGAGCTTGCTTGAAGCCGCTCTGCCCTCAGGCTTTCTGGAAGTTGTAATAAGTCCAGAGGCATGTCTGCCAGCTCTGGCCGACTGAAAATACAGATAAAAGAGTGTGAGCAGTCTTCCTCAAGGGAGCTTTACACAGTTAGCAGTCTAAATGCTAAACCCTGCACCACAGGTTAACAGAGTTCTACAATAATTTAGTATGGCTGAATCACACAAAAGAAATGCTAACTTGGATGGTATTGGTACCTCATACCTAGATCCTAGCCTACTTTGGGAGCAATTTAAGCCAACATACTGTACCTGTGTATCTATTTTATTAATGGCAAACTCTATCTGGATCAACTGTAAAAATAAAAGTCACTCATGTGCTGTGCTGCTATTTAGACTGCTTGTCATGGTTGCCAATAGTAATCTTTGCTGACAACCTAGAATGTTCCAAATCCATCACAGGTTTATCAGTAGCCAGCTACACAGTTTACTAGATTTTTGAAACACAGCCATTTGAGTTTCCTCCTCCAAACAGCATGACAGGAGAGGAACCCACTTGTGATACCGCTTTCAAACAGACACATACACACACACACACACACACTAGACAAGCCCTTCTAAACATGAACATGGCTCCAGCAGGGTGCTATAGAAGTTAATTAGCTATCGTAATTACAGAGCTAATTAACTAAAACACCATTCAGCCAGAAAATTTTGACATCCATTTGGTGTAATTATATATCACCAGTCCAAATATCAGTGAAATCCAGCCAATTTTTTGCTTGTTTTTGTCTGACTTCTTTGAACGTGTGCGTTTGTGTGATGAAGATTACTGTAGACAGATGGAGAGGAAGAGCATTTACGAGGGCCTCTCAGCACATTACCATATTTTTTTGTTCTGCAGCACAACACTCAACAACACAAACACACAAGGTCACTATGAGGCTGACCTGAGCACATAGTTGACCCAGATGACATTACGCTCATGGGGTGCTTTGTGGTTAATAGAAACGGTGGCGCAGGACTGAATCCACAGATAACCTCCTCTCCTCTGCAGCCAACGGTAATATCCGGTCACAACCTGCCCTTTCCGCAGCACTAAAACAAGAATTAAGTGAGTTAGTAACATCAAATTAAATATTAGACTTGAAAATACTAATTGAATTAGATTTGATGGCCAAAACAAAAGGTACATTTCTTGAAACTAGGCATAAAGAAAAGTTACACAGTTCGCTTATTTGGCTAGGGGGTGCTATTGTCAAAATGTAAACAGCAGCTTAAGGCCAAGACACATCAAGTTGATGCCAAACTACAGCTGCACATGAACACACAAAACAAATGGCAGCCCAGTCATCAGCTTGGTGTGTCCCAGCCTTTAGAGCCCCTAAACTGAAAACCCCCCTTGCTTTCTAATGTCCTGTTCCAACTACAATAATATTCTTTCCCTCCTTATATTCCTTCAATCACAAGCTTTCCACTGGCCACCTTCATAAAATCGTTTGTCCTACAATGTATAAAAAAATGTATAAAAATCTGAAATTTACTAAAAACTTAGTAAAACATTAGTGTGATCAAGTTTCTTATGTTGTATATTTAAGAGAGCTATATGATAAGGTACATTAGGTACATTAGTTTATCAAGATCAAAACCTAGATTATTAATATAGTTCTATGAGGGACTGGGAGGAGCAGGAATAAACGCTGACAGACTTACAGTCTTCATGGCTCTGCCTGACGGTGTCCAGGTCTTCAGCATGAATGAAGTGATAGCAGGTATGTCCAACCACTTCAGCTGGGCTCAGGTCCATATACTCTGAAATCCTACAAAACACACATAGGGGTTGTTTACAACTGGTCACTTTGTGTGTTTCTTTTCTGATTGGATATCCGATGGGCTATATGCAAAGCTAGTGTTTTTCAGCCAATGATGAACCTACGGTGAAAGCTTTATGTGACTATCTTCAATTTCATAAGGTTCCTTTTACAGCATCGATGTTGTAATGTAATTCAAATATAATCAGTTAAATAGACTGAAGCATCCATTTGGTTGTTAAAGCTTAAAAAGAGATGAAAGGCTGTGTAAATGCTAGCGCCTTCATTATCAGCAGCAGGCTAGCGCAGTCACTCCATTGGAAATACTGGGGTAAAATTTCCATATCATAAAGACATGGCAAGGGGAAATAAAATGTAATGCAGTGCTTCTTGTTTAATCTGATACCCACTTTATATCGTAGCTCTGCAAGGCACTGAAGATCACTGTTTTTTTTGCAAAGGAATCTGAACGCGGCAATTTTGTATGTGATCCCTCCTGAAAAATCAAGCTTAAACCAGCCTAGGATGGTTGGCTGGTTTTAGCTGGTCAACCAGCCTGGTTTTAGAGGGGTTTTGGCCACTTCCAGACTGGTTTACAGCCATTTCCAGCCTGGTCTTAGCTGGACAGGCTGGGAGATGGTCAGCTAAAACCAGCTTGACCAGCCTAGCCAGGCTGAGAGCCCAGCCAAAACCAGCTATATCCAGCTTAAACCAGGATGGTCAAGCTGGTTTTGGATGGTTTTAGCTGGTCACTTTCCAGCCTGACCAGCTAAGACCAGGCTGGAAATGGCTGGAAACCAGCCAGGCAGTGGTCCAGACTGGTCGACCAGCTAAAACCAGCCAACCATCCTAGGCTGGTTTAAGCTGGATTTTTCAGAAGGGATGACAATTCACTGGAAATCTTGGGGCTGGCTGACTGAAATTTAAAGTCTGTGTGTATATACCCCATTGTGAAAAGGAGAGGTGTAAATCACCCAAACCACTTCAGGAGGTAGTCTGGGACGCAGAATTCCAGATAAAACTGGACAGGTCTAAATGCATCTGGTTGCTAAAACCCCTTATGGAAATGTTACTCTTCCCAAAATGTAAAAAACGATAATGTGACAGCATGTTATGGGCTATGTGACCATTGGAAATAACAGCTCTACAACACATCACGCAATGTCATGACAGTTACGAATATTAAGTTAGTTATTTATGCTTGTGCACTTTGTGAGGATGCCTAGAACACTAGTGTTCCAAATACTCCAAGTACAATGCCTCCTAAATAGCTTATGTTTTAGTAAAAACTAATATTATTTAAAGAAAATACAGTGTATGCAGCTTGATCTCATGATGAAATATAAATATTTTACGTTTGCTAATTTAGTGGCTAATTTGTATGAATTCATACAAGTTTGTTTGTCTGAAAATGTACAGTTTTAAAAAGGATGCATGGCACCCAACCCACCCCTAAACACAACCATTGGAAGATAATCCTACTGTAAATCTGCAAATCATACTAAAATGCAAATCATACTTAAATCATACTGGACACATGAGATCGTACAAATTAATTTGAATTAGCCACTATATCAAAGTTACGAATTGCTGTGAGATTGTGTTGGTATATCTGATCCTTTACTCGACTTCAGCTAGTCAAGTTTTCGCATAGCATGGCATTTACTGTGGTAACTTACTCTGTGAACCTAACCTGGTCAGGAGCAGGTTTTATTCTCTAAACTCAGAGTTTCTGTCGGTGTCCTCCCCTTTTTTAAAGACGAAGCGGTATTTCTCGCCTTAGCCTTGCGTTTCCACCCACCTATTTTAATGTTAATTTTGGAGATGTGCATAAAAACGATTGATGGAAACATCATGATGCATTTAACTTTTGAAAATATGCATAAAAAACACATGCATAATTGAGCAGGATAAACTTTTATTTGATAGAAAATATGCGCATAATTACGATGGAAACACTTTTACTGAACAAATTACAGTATGTACATTATAAAAAGGTCATCATATGATGATGAAAATGTGTATGAATGGACAAACCAGCAGGCTGAGCACACTGTAACACGTCTTAAATGTTGTTTTAGTCATTCTAAAATGCCTTAACTGTTTCAGTATTAGTGTATATAATTAGACTACCTCTGAGCATCTGGAGCGTGTCAAGAGTCTCTGCGTCTCATGGCTTCAAACACCCCCACGTGTTCATTGTCTTCTGAGGCGCAGGTACATTTATTAAATAAATAATTGACGCAGCTTCTTCTATTCTGTTTTTACTGTCGATATTTGGTGCCAGTTAATCAGGAAGTGACGATTTTGTTCTCTTTGACTCGTTGGATGGCAACGCTGCTTTATTCACATCTTTTATACAATATTCCAGTTTTGCACATACATTTATGTAATATATTTGGATAGAAACATAGATATTGCCTACCTTTTAGTCACACACAGAACTATAAATAATTAGCTTAAATTCATTGACCTTCGACATGTACTGTAACTAGATTAATGGGATTATTATTCTTTCTAAAAATTATTTTTAGTACTGCTTACCTTCTAAATGTTATATCAAACTCTATCACTTGATCAAGAAAAAAGGCAGTGCACTGTTAAATCTAAAAATGTATAAACATCACACATTACATTACTTATTTTATTATACTTAAATATTTAAATATTTTAAATGTAAAGTTACGCATTAACTTGTCTAACTGTCTCTGTTTCACTGATGGTTGCTTTTTAAAAATACTCATATTTGCTATAAGGTTGCATGATCACATCAAGTTCTGCTGGAGAAAGAAATGGTGATCTCTTTTTTTAAGATGTTGACATGGTCACTCGTAATGTCTGCGCTCCATTGATAATGCCTTTTTATAGTCACGGTGAGCGCACTTAACTTTGACTTGGTCTACTCAAAGTTGATTGACCTAACTCAGATCAGCTATTCTGAAACCAAAAACAAAAACTTAAACGGAGGTTTAAACTCCGAGTTGTTTGAACCTCCTTACTGAAACAGGCCCCAAGTGTAAACAGGCCCACAATGACACACATTATTGAGTGCACCTGTTTAAGTGCTCAGTAATGTAAATCCAGCCAATCACATGGCAGCAACACAATATGCGCATTTCCAAAATCTGGTTATCTAGAGAGATTTTGAGGCATAAATATGTTTAGGGCAGGGATGGACAAATATGATCCTGAAGGGCCATTGTTTTTTTTTTTTTTTTAAACCCTATTAAACACTCCTGAAAATTTTGATCAGTGTCTTTAAGATCACTAGAAAGCTACAGACAGGTGTTTTTGAATATAATTGGAGAAAAACTCAGCAGGATAGTGGCCCAGACTGAAGTAGTCCATCCCTGATCTAGAGATCATTGAGAGTGATAGGAAAAAGAGAAAATTAAATGACCAGGGATTGCCTTGTTGATGTGAGAGGTCAGATGAGAATGGCCAGACTGGTTCAAGCTGATAGAAAGGCAACAATAACTCAAATAGCCATTTGTCACAAGCCAGGACTGTTGAAGAGCATTTCTGAGCACACAACACATCCAATGTTCAACAGTTTCTTGGTCAAATGAGTGTTAATTGGTAGATAGTAGGGTCAGAATTGTCAACTTCTTGGCAAGTTTTGGGCTCCTTAATACAGTTTAAACTCCACAGTCTACTTAAGTATTGTGGCTGACTCCATCTCTTTTGACCACAGCGGATCTTTTAAAGACTACTTCCAGCAGGTTAACACACAATGTCACAAAGCTCAAATCATCTCAAACTGGTTTCTTGAACATGACGGTGAGTTCACGAAACTCAATTTCCACATTAATCACATCTCAGTCCAATAGGGCACCTTTGTGATGTGGTACAATAGGAGATTCACATCATAGTTGTGAAGCCAACAAATCTGCTGCAACTATGTGATGCTTTCACATCAATATCAACCAAAATGTCAGAGGAATGTTTTCAGCACATTGTGGAATCTATGCCATTTCAAAAACTCAGACCATTGTAAAATCTAGCATAGTGTACCTTATAAAGTGATGTGAGTGTATCTTATAAAGCTGGTGTGTGAATAAGACCTGCTGCAACATTTATTTCAATTTAACTGTGCCAGTTTGCTTTGAAACCAAATGTTACAAAGATAATTTCAGGTTTGAGACATATTGTTGGTGAAATAGCTGCAGGCATTTCCTTGCCTTAATCCCTTATTTATCAGAGGTTGCCACAGCAGAATGAACCGCCAACTTATCCAGCATATGTTTTACAGAGGATGACCTTCTAGCTGCAAACCAGTACTGGGAAACATCCATACACACTCATACTCAGTTTATTCAATTCATCTTTACCACATGTTTTTGGACTGTGGGGCAAATCCTCGCGAACACGGGGAGAACATGCAAACTCCACACAGAGATGCCAACTGGCCCAGCCAGGAATCAAACCAGTGACATTCTTGCTGTGAGGTGACAGCTTTAATCAATGAGCCACCGTGTTGCCCCCGTTGGTGGGCAAACACTATTACTCTATTTTTTGTTCTCAATCAGTTCTTTGTCTTTCGACACCAAAAGCACCAGCTCTGAACCAGAAAAGGTGGTTCTTTAGTAGCACCCAAACATTGCTGGGCTCGAAGTAAGAATAACTTGCATCAGCAGCTGATGGTGGGGTCAGAACTGATTCTCCCTAAACGCAAGGTTTGTAGGACCCGTCAAGTTACGGAAAGCCACCATCCCACCTTGCTCGCTCTTTACTTAAAGATTACCACTCATCCCAAACAGGCTGCTCCTGTGTAGCAGTCGATTCTGTTCCCTTCTGGAATTCCAGTTGTTCCCCCTCTATGAAGCAACGTATGCAGACACACCTTAACACAAGTGGATGTACGGAAATCAAAGTGGTTCTAAAAGTCGATTTTTTTTCGACCTTGAAAATGAAAAGGACTTACATAACTTTAGGCCTACGCACAATATTAAACTAGGGTGCATAAATTTAGACAATAGAAAAAAGCTAAGAATACAAACAAGAACCACAGAAAATACTTAATGGGAGTGTTAGATTCATTTTATTATGCTACTTTGGGATTGCAAGACATGAAAGCAATGCCAACACTTTTGTCTATTTTCGCTTTCCGTACATCCAGTTGTGTTGGGGTTGTGTCCGCAGTGCACATGCTTCTTAAAGGGGGAACAGGAATTCCAGAAGGGAACAGAGTCGACTGCTACACTGGCGCAGCCTTCACATGCACTTACAGTTGCAGTAGTTGATCTGCCAAAATGCTAACCGCTTAGCATATTATCTTTGGACGGCGGGGAGGGACTGTGATTCAAAGCCACACCCCCTGAAATCGCGAGAGCGCGCACCGCGTAACAACAGCAGACAGACAACGCACTTGTTCATGTCATTCGCCAGTTAGTTAATACCAGCCCCGTGCAGGAATTACATTTATTACTTTGCCACACTTGCATGCTATTTCAGAGCGAATATTCAGAGTAGCATGGTAAACAGTATTGGAAGGTTGTCATTGTTTAAAAATGACCCAATGTGAATATAAAAGCCACTTCTGCTCAATAAAGCAGTTAGGCAGAATAGCGCTATTTACTGATGTTTTGTTGTTAAACTAAATATAAATCTACATTATAGATGCTGTCAAAGGACCTTATGAAACCTCTTTCACCGGGAGATTTCAGTGGCTGAACAACACGTCTGTGCATATAAGTCATTCATAACACAACACACTCTAACATAAGCTTAGCCTGACTAAGTTTTAAAACAACATTACCTATCTAACACTAATACTTCAGCCATGGTGTCGTCCTTCCTCCAGCGTGCTAAAGTAACTCCAATTTTGATTCAGGTTTTTAAAAGTTTAATTCAGCATTTGATTTCTCCTGGTCCGTCTCGTGACCACGCGGCCGCTTTAAGGGCGAATTATACTCGCGCCTGGCTTTACAGTAATCGGCCCGAGCTCGTCTGTCCTTCAGCGCCCTCGCGCGCATGCGTTTGTGATGCAGACGGCCACGCGCTAATGGCGGATCTGCGTAAACAGATCTGCAGAAGTCTGAATCTACATATGTTGACAGACAGTCTGACCTGCTTATCGGAATCAAGGGAGATGTCGACTCTATTTAATTGGATGAACATTTTTTAGTTTTATGCTTTACCCAGAATATAAAAATAAATATAAACGCATTTAGATCATTTACTTTAATTATTACTATTGGACTGTGAAGAGACTTTCAACCAGCACAACAAAAAATGTTTCTGAAGACAATCACCTACTGCACCTTTAAAGGCTGATTTATACTTCTGCGTCAAACGCACGCGTATGCTACGGTGGAGCCTACGCATTGATACATAGCCCTACCCTGTGGCCATCGCTGACGCGCACCTCTCAAAAAATGTAACTAGCTCTGTGATTGGTCAGCTTGGTAGCGCTGACGAGTGTGGGCGGGACCGAGAGCCGCGCAAGACCGATGGAGCAAGTGTAGAATACCATGAAGGAGCTTCGGATGGAAAGTTTTGTTATGTATTTACCTCATGGTTAAAGTTGTTGCATGTCCGTCGGTTCCTGCCTCAAAATGAGCGAGTTTGAGCCACTTGTACATTAAGGAAGCGTTCAGAAAAAACAAAACACCAGCGAAGAAACTCGACACAGAGAAACATCAACATCTCGCTGCCAACTAGCGTTGCGGACGTTGCATGTGCATGTGCTGTGCTGTCACGCCGGTCACTCGACGCAGAAGTATAAACCAGGGTTGACACAGATTCAACATTCCATTCAACTCTACTAAGGACCCTGGAGTACTGCCTCTGTTTGGTATTACCAATGCAATGAACAGAAATATATTTAAATATATTTTCTTTTGAATATATTTAAAATAGCAAAGCATCAAAGCACATTATAGCTTCTAACTTCTATCTATTCAAATCATGTCGCACTGCCTGAACCGGCCCAATCTTATGAGAAAACAAAACTTTTTTACACATTGTCAGAAAAGTGACTAATTGCAACACAAATAAATATAATTTCATTGACATGAAAATATGTGACCTTTAAAAATAGTAATTCCACCAAACATCATGCCTAACACATTGGGGGATGAGCAAATCATACTAAAATGTACAATAGACATCAGTCAAATGAAACAAATTACCAACTAAATTAAAAAGTTATGAACTGCTGTGAGGTTGCATATGAACGCGTTATTATTATTATCAATCGTAATCTCCGTCTATTTACAAACAAAGGTGTACTGCATGACTACTGTACATTGAATTCACTGTGTATTGATGCAGATGGGTGACGCAGTGGCGCAGTAGGAAGTGCTGTCGCCTCACAGCAAGAAGGTCGCTGGTCAGTTGGCATTTCTGTGTGGAGTTTGCATGTTCTCCCTGCCTTCGCGTGGGTTTCCTCTGGGTGCTCCGGTTTCCCCCACAGTCCAAAGACATGCGGTACAGGTGAATTGGGTAGGCTAAATTGTCCGTAGTTTATGAGTGTGAATTAGTGTGTGTGGATGTTTCCCATAGATGAGTTGCAACTGGAAGGGCATCCGCTGTGTAAAAACATGCTAGATAAGTTGGAGGTTTATTCCGCTGTGGCGACCACGGATTAATAAAAGGACAAAGCTGAAAAGAAAATGAATGAATGAATGAATGTATTGATGCAGATGGAGGTTTACAAAGTTATTAACAATAATAGCAACAGATCGTTGATGTTGTATATGTATTTGGCACTTCAGCATTTGTGTTTGCAGGAAAGAAGAGACATGTGCAGTGACATAAGAACTGCCCCAACAGTGGCTCTGTAGATGGTGGAAAAGCAAAGCGGTTCTTTGAAGACTTGCCATGTGAACTTAACAGGAAAAATCATTGGCTCCAAACTGGTACATGGTTTGTGATTTGATGAAAAGGGGTGTGAGGCATACAGTAAGGAGATGATTTGAGCTTACCTGTTTTCACAGTAGGTGACCTGCAGATCCATGTTGACTCTGAAAACAAACATGTGGCTTTCCATGCGCACCTCATTGAGCGTGGAGGGTGGAAGTGTGTGAGCCAGAGCGACCAATCCCATTGGCCGATGTAAGGCTCGGGAGGAGCTGGGCACCAGTGCTGGCCGACATCGAATCCGACCTGTCACATGAATCACCTGATAAGGAATTAAATGAGCAGCTCAGTTTGTGCAATCTTTCAATCATGAATGAATGCTATTTAGTTCAAATGTTATGGTTGTTATAAAACAACATCAAACACCATATTTTTCAGTTTTTATCATCTTTTCTTAAACTTGTTATTGCTTGCTATGTTTTTTTTTAATAGTGAATGCTACAACAATTAATATTTCATGCTTATTCATCTTTTTATACAGTGTTATATTCATGGAGTGATAGGAACTACAATTTTGTAAATTATTTACTTTAATTAACAGTATTATACACGATTTCTATAACACTGACTCGATAATATTGAATTTTTTAACATGTAAACATTCATTCATTCATTCATTTTCTACCGCTTTTCCGGGGCCGGGTTGCGGGGGCAGCAGTCTTAGAGAACCCTAGACTTCCCTCTCCCCAGACACTTTATCCAGCTCCTCTAAGGCCTCCTCCCGGTGGGACATGCCTGAAACACCCCCCTAGGTAGGCGTCCAGTAGGCATCCAAAACAAATGCCCAAGCCACCTCAGCTGACTTCTCTCGATGTGGAGGAGCAGCGGCTCTACTCCGAGCTCCTCCCGGGTGTCATAGCTCCTCACCCTATCCATAAGAGTGCGCCCTGCCACCCTTCGAAGGAAACTCATTTCGGCTGCTTGTGTCTGAGATCTTGTCCTTTTGGTCATGACCCAAAGCTCATGACCATAGGTGAGAGTAGGAATGTAGATTGAGTGGTAAATCGAGAGCTTTGCCTTTCGGCTCAGCTCCTTCTTTACCACAACGTACCGGTACATCGACCACATACTGCTGCCGCTGTACAAATCCGCCTGTCAATCTCACGTTCCATCCTTCCCTCACTCGCTAACAAAACCCCAAGATACTTAAACTCATCCACCTGGAGTGAGGACTTTCCTCCAGGCTAGAGATGGCAAACCACCTTTTTCCAATGGAGCACCATGGCCTCGGACTTGGAGGTGCTGATTCTCATCCCAGATGCGTCACACTCAGCAGCAAACCGCCCCAGTGTATGCTGAAGGTCCATGTTTGATGAAGCCAACAGAACAACATTGTCTGTTAATAACAGAGATGAAATCCTGTGGTCCCCGAACCGGACCGCCTCCAGCCCAAGGCTGCGCCTTGAAATTCTGTCCATAAAAATTATAAACAGAATTGGTGACAATAGGCAGCCCTGCCGCAGTCCAACATGCACTGAAAACAACTCTGACTTATTGCCAGCAATGCAAACCAGACTCCAACTCTGTTCATACAGGGACGAGACAGCCCTCAACAGATCGCCTCTGATCCCATACTCCCCGAGCACCCTCCACAGAATGCCACCAGGGACACAATCGAATGCCTTCTCCAAGTCCACAAAACACATGTGGACTGAAAACATGTGAACAATAAAAAAAAATCTTACATTTAAAGTTAGAAATTTTTAAAATGAAGGACTCACTTTATAGCCCGAGGATTTAACGTGGAGGCCACGTTTGGTGAGTGTGGATTTCATCCGGATGAAGAAGCCACGTTCCGACAACTCCCTGACTGGAGAACAAGGACTGTGTGGTGCTACAAGAGAAAACATGGTCTGTTCAAATAGTTGATTCTGATTGACAAAAATGTGTGAAATATATATATTTTTTTAATGCATAGGCAGTTCTAGTAAGTTTTGGTCACAGTTCGAAATAAATGTGTGTGTATATATTTTTTGCTGTCTTTTTTTTGCAATGTAGCTATTTGAATAATAAAAAATAAAACATAAAAATAATAATATTTCTTTTTCTTCTTATTATTATTGTTGTTATTATTATTATTATTATTATTATTATTATTATTATTATTAGTAGTAGTAGTAGTAGTAGTAGTAGTAGTAGTGGTAGTAGTATTAGTAGTAGTAGTAGTAGTATTTAGAGCTTTACAATTTTTCTAGCCTCTCTTGTAAAAGTGCTTCAAACTATTTATTGGTCATGTTTTCTTTCCTGAATAAGGTCCAAGATTTAGAATAAATCAATGTTTTGTCTAATGTTTTTCCTATTTTAAAGCAATACAGTAGCAAAAGATGACTTCGCTTATGTCAGATGTTTTCTTGCACATGCAGCTGGATGTTGGACTCATAAAAAATAGTTGTTTGCATTGACCAAAACTGATTGGTCCACTTGGTCTTCAAGCCTTTTTCGATGGGCTATTTTTACTATTTCTGATGGCATAGCAATCAAAATAGGACAAATGAGCTCATGTACAGTACGAGACAAATTCCAGACCTTTGTCAGTGAGGGGTGGGTCCTCCGAACCACCTATACCCCCTATTTTTCTAACAAATAAAATATAGAAATATCTTTTAAAATTATTCACAGATATTATCCAGATTTTATTAATTTTAGCAGAAATTCAAAAATGACAATGACGTCTCTTGCTCTTTTTGTTTGTTGGGAATGTCCATTTGTTAAATCTTTCTGGTCTGATGTGCATACTTTAATTGTCCTAAAGGTTTGTGGTGATTTTTTCTTTAAGCTATAGACATCCTATAATGGGGGGTTTACATCAAAGATAAACAATTCCTTAATTCAAGTTTTAGTATAACCCCAATAATATTTATTGGAAAGTTTTTATACATAAGTTTAAATATATTAATTGTAAACCAAATTTTATGTTTTTTGATGAGAATTGGATCTGCATTGAATACCATTTTAGAGTCTCATAACAAGAAAGCAAATAAAACTTCTAAAATGTGCTTTGTTTAATGTTCTTCATTGATTTGTTATTTTTTCATGTGTCCTCTCTCCCTTTTTAAGTTTTTATTTTATTGTCTTTATTTCTCACTATCTTTCTCTTTGCCATCCCATTGTAATACTTCTTTACAATTTGTCATTCTCTTTTTGTGCAAAAAGTAATATTTATATTGTTTGAATTATACTTTTTCGACTGTATTTTTACAGTAAATGCCTGTTATTGCAATAAAAAAAGCAACAACAACAAAAAAAGATTGCTGAAACATTTTTGTGAATTGTCTGTATTTTTGTCAGTATTCTGTTTGTATGTTTGTTTCTGTGGCTTCTACATTATCATATAAAATCATTTACATCATATATAATAATATAAAATATGAAACATTTACAATTTATCATTTGGTTTATGTCAAATATGCAATAAACTGCTCGGTTTCATTTTAAATGTGTCCACTTGTGTTTAAAAAAAGAGCCATATTTTCGTTTTTCGGACCATTTTCACTGACCCTTTGAATTAAACGAGCAGTTTTTGCTGCTATGCCTTAAGCCCTCTATGCAAATCACTTCTTGACAATGAGAACCTGTACTTTCCTGCAGAGCGGCTGGTGTTTTAACTGGGATCAGCACAAGATCTGACAGGTTTTTGATGGAGTGTTGTCGATGAGAAACAATTAAAATGTTGGCTGCAAAGTTCAGGTTTCAGAAGTCTTTCTTGTCAAAGAATCAAGGGAAAGTAAAGATAACATTTTAGTTACAGATTACTATTTACATGGCAATATAGACTGAACTTACAGCATACTTTATTTAGTAATAACCACACAAGGTACACTGTAAAACCCAACAGTCAACTTTAACAAATGAAATGAGAGTAGTAACCCAAAATTTACTGAAAGTTCATTCTACTCAATTGAAAAAAAAGTTGTGAACTCAGTGTTGAAGGTAATGAGTTGATTACATACATCATTACTTCAGCTTAAATGGAGTAAGTTCACAGTACTAATTTTTTTTTAACTCAAATGGTTTGTAGCAATCAGTTTTCTGAAACGGTTTGAGTTGCCCTAACTTATTGGGTTTTGCAGTACTTATAGTTTAAGTTCTCTTTATTTATTGGGTTTTACTGTGCTCACATTGCTTCGTTTACTCAAATGGATTAAGTTCAAGGTATTCATTAGGATTTGTTTTTGAACTTAAATGGTTTGTTGCAATCGGTTTCCTCAAATTGTTTGAGTTACTGTAACTTATTGGGTTTAATAGTATACATACATGTAAATATGAGGGATCAATATGAAAGGTTTAGAGAAACAAGGGAGTAACATGCTTCATCTCTTCAATTTACAGCCCACAAACACTATATTAACACTGTATATAATGGAAACAAAGCGCTAACTGCTGTATAAAAAAAAAAAAAAACACATTAAACAATACATTTAACAAATTCATTTGTGACCCTGGACCACAAAACCACTCTTACATTGCATGGGTATATCTGTGGGAATACCCAACAATACATTGGATGCAGCAAAATGCTACATTTTTACGTTTGGGCAAAAATCATTAGAACATTATTGCCACGTTCCATGACTACATTTAATAAATGTAGAATTTTGCTGCAACAATGTATTGTTGGGTATTCCCACAGATATAGCCATGCAATTTAAGAGTGGTTTTGTGGTCCAGGGTCACAAATGTATTGTTTAAATGTATTGTTTAATGTGTTTTTTGTAAATACAGGGGTTAGCCCCTTGTTTCCCATATATACAATGTTAGTGTTTGTGGGCTGTAAATTAAAGCGGTGCTTTACTCACTTGTTTCTCTAAACCTTTCATATTGATCCCTCATATTTACATGTATTGGTAATTGAATTGAAGTGTTACAGTACCAAAATGTGTACCTTTTTAATTAATGAGATTCCTTTTGAGCCATAGAATATTGTTTATTGTTAAGTATGTAATGTTTTTGTGTATTCATACTATTTGCCTAAAGTAAATGTTTTAGAAAAGATTAATATTTAGTTAAAAAAAGCTGTTGATGGTGTCCACTTTAATGAACAGGTATGTAACTCCTTCAAAATACAATTCTAAAAAAGAAAAATAAGTTACCTTACACTTACATGTACACCATTAAAAAACTAATTCTTAATTTGTTGTGCATTAAAGTACAGTAAAAACAGCGTAAAACATCATAGGGTATATAGCAATGAATGATTCGGACTGTTTTACAGTAATAAATAAAAATATTGTATAGAAGTATGTTACAAGTGAGAAGACTAAAATACTGTATGTGTTACAGTAAAAATATACAAAACTGTAAATACAAGCACAGTAAGATATATGGCACTCTATATACACTGCTAACAATTTCATGTACAATTTATAGTAACTTACTGGCAGCAGTTTTCAAGTAGCTTACTGTAAGTCAATTACAGCAAAAATACTGTAAATTCATTTACGGCACTATTTATCCTGCTGTATATGTGTTTACAGAATTTTCTCTTTAGTATAAAATGTTCACAATTCAACTTTAAATAACAATAACATACTACATAACTGTATAACAGTAAAATACAGTTCATAAAACAGTTAAATACTGTGTAATTTACAAAACTCGTACAGTAAATGTCTGGCAAACTGCTGCCAGTACGTTACTTTAAATTCCAAAGAAAATCATTAACACTGAACATTTTCATGTGTAAACAATAACTACCAAAAAATAAAAATAAAAAGATGCTGTAAATGTATTCAACTTTGTAATTTGCAGGCTGTAATTTAGTAGTGAATAAATCTGGATCTCAGAAGAAGTCCATGTTACCTGGTTCTGGAGTGCCAGCCAGCGAGGACGTGGATGCTGAGCTTGAAGCACTTTCATGGGACGTCTGACAGCCGGCCTCTGCCCGCAGGTGTGGCCTGATGCCCAGACGCTCCGCCATCTCCACATGATCCGCAGGGTGGATGTAATCGAACACACTGCTGCCAGTCAACTCCACCTGAGCATCCAAACACACACAAACAAACGCGCGGATCAATGCCTTCATTTAAGAAACATGACACAGATCACAACATATTGCACCAACCAATAAGAGACCTTGAAAACCACAAGATCGTCTATTGCTATTGGTATATTTGTAATGCGCAGATGTACACACTTATTGCTTAAGTCGTGCTCTGAGGGCAACAAACTTCAAAGAGATAACAGCAAAGCTACACATGAAACATTAATTCCAGCGTATCATGACCTAGACTGAATATTCTACCTGCTGCATTTTACAAAGCCTATAAGAATCTCAAAACAGGTGAGCTTCATGAAACATGCACGTCGAGCAGACTTCACAATATTACATCAATAAATAATGAACTACAAATTAGTCTGAAAGGTACGATGAAAACAAAAATAAACTATTCATTCATTTGCTCAGCCGCATGCCATTCAAATGTAGGATTTTACTTTGGTAACACTTCGTAGGTTGTGTTAGTTTAGTTGGGGATGAAGTACATCCAGGAGGATGTTATCGTAGAATAAAGTCCAACAAGATTATTGGTAGCCCGACATTCTACAAAATTCTACAACTCTCCTATTCTACAAAAAAAAAAAAAAAAACACTCCTGGATGTATTTTATCCTATATATTAATTCTTCTATGATATATATATATTCTATATATTAATTCAAATAAATGTGAAGCTATCAGAAACAAAAACTGCGGATGGAGTATACACTAACTAGTGCATTATTCAGTCACAAGATGGCGCCAAACAGTCAAAAAACACAAAACTGATAGATACTGAACCAGTTGAATGGAGAATAGACTAACCTACACATTATACGGCCACAAGATGACACTAAACAGTGAAAAAAAGCAGACAAACAAAAACAAGACAAGCAGATAAATATGAATATGGAAGTAATGGCCCGTTTCCTCTGAGTGGTACGGTACTTTTCGGTTCTGTATGCTTTTACGGCCAGTACCGTACCACTTTTTAGGTACCCTTTACAAAAGGTACCTAGGACAGCCAAAGGGTACCAAAAGGTGGAGCTAGACGCGCAACTTGACGCTATTGGTTTACAGAGATACGTCACTCAAGCCAGGAGAATGAAAACAAAGGAAGCACCATTTTTATAAACACAGCAGAGACATTACAACTTTACAACTTCATAATATAAATATTTAATAATGGGCCATGGTCCACCTGAACTTAAAAAAAAAAAAAAAAAAAAACATCAAAAAGTGATATGTGAACAACCCTTACAGCTTTACTTTGACTTTCCTCAAGCGAGAATGACGTAGACTGAAACTTTCTGTTGTATACCTCGCCCACCAAAAGGGTACATTTGGTACATTTGTTATCCCATTTTAGTAATTGTGGAAAGAAAAAAAATAAACAGAGAGGTTAATTATTCAGTGGGGCTAATACTTCTGACTTTAACTGTATATATATATATATATATATATACTGTTTTTTCCCCCCAGTTTCTGTTTAACGGAAAGATTTTTTCAGCACATTTCCAAACATATATAATAGTTTTAATAACTAATTTCTAATTCCTGATTTATTTTATATATAAATAATATTTGAATAGATATTTTTTCAAGACACTTCTATACAGCCTAAAATTACATTTAAAGGCTTAACTAGGTTAATTAGGTTAACTAAGCAGGTAAGGGTAATTAGGCAAGTTATTGTATAATGATGGTTTGTTTTGTAGACTATCAAAAAATAGCTTAAAGGGGATAATAATTTTGACCTTTAAAAAAAGGAAAAGCTGCTATGTATATATAGTTTTTTTTCTTGTTAATTTATTTTCTTTTTGGCTTAGTCTGCTATTAATATGGGGTCACCACAGATGAATGAACTGTCAACTTATCCACCATATGTTGTATCTGGATGCACTTCCAGCTGCAAACAATCACTGATATATATATATATATATATATACATATATATATATATATATATATATATATATATATATATATATATATATATATATATATATATATATATATATATATATATATATAATGATATATATATAGTGGTGTGATTTGCATTGCTGTTCTTTTAGATCTATAAAAAAAATATCTGTGGGGGTCAGATCTCATTCTACACTTGATAAAAAGCTGGTTTCTCCTCAAACCTTGTCTGCGGGACAGAGCCATTTATTATGGGATTAGATCCATTTACGGAGGGATTTTAAAGGATTTTCCGCTGGCCGTCAAGGACACTAATGTGTGTGTGTGCAGGCCAGGTTGCATGCAAACTGAGAGAAGAGCAGAAAGGAGAGGGATCGGCGGTGGAGTAAAGAGCAGAGCTGTGTAATTGGGGATCAGTTGAGGGATGAATTGTGAAGAGTCTGGGGTTTTAAGCCTGTGTCGGCTAATTGAGAGGTAAAGGTGGAGGTAAATCCAGCAGACAGGTGGTCTGGCTCGGAGATCTTAATCTGGTCCACAATGCCTCAGAGAGAGCCCTGTTTAGCTTGTTGGAGTATGGGATCTCACATGTTTGGAAGGGAAAGACACCAAACATGCATGAACGATCTTTAGGAAAATCACAGTTAAAAGGATCCACTGGAGGATAGATTGGAAATAGACAATGGAAAGGAGGGAAAAGAGAGAAGATGAAGGTCAAAATTCTCTCTATTTCATTCTAAAATATGATCTACAATTTCCAAATAATGTTATGGTATTTTCTACGTCCTATTTGAAGTTATTTAACAGAAGTAAAAGCAGATTTTAAAGCATAAATATTAGTTATTTCCTGAAATACCAGCCTGATCTCACGAGGAAACGTAAGTATTTTATGCTTTGTCAGTTTAGTGGCTAATTCATACAAATTTGTACGAGTTCAGTCGTACGAAAATTTACGATTTTAAAAAGGAGGCGTGGTACCCAACCCCACCCCTAACCCCAACTGTCATTAGGTGATGAGCAAATCGTACTAAATTGTACGAATTAGATCGTACAAATTCATACGAATTAGCCCCTAAATGAAAAAAGTTACGAATTGCCGTGAAATTGTGTTGGAAGTACAGTAAAAAAAAACTTAACTGATGAATAAAAAGCACTTATCAAAATTTAAAATACTTCAGTTATGAAAACAAGTTTAATTTATTTGGCTTAAATGGGAATAATTAGGTTCATCGTGGAAACTATGGAGAACCTGAACCACAAGTGTGAAGTCAGTAAAGTGTAATGGTTTCAGTGTGGTTTTCTCTTGGAGTTTGGCCTCTTATGAAGCTTTGTGACAGTGTGAAGCAAATGTTTATCAGAAGCTTTGATTTCTTGCATTCATTGTTCAATCATACAGCAATTTTCATGAAGAACAAAGAGCCCTGTCCTACAGCAAAACAAGTAAAGTAGGTCTTTTAAAAATAATGAAATGGCCTGAACAAAGTCCTGAACTTAACCTGAGTGAAAATCTCTGGAACATCCTTGGTGGCAAACATTTTGACAAGATTACTTGCTTATGACTGACTATAAATATGTAATATACAAACACAATGTTTTCAGGTCTTACAGTTCAACACCTAAATAGCCAAAACTCAGTAACAAAAATAGTTTTCTGTTTTTATATAAAGTTATAGACATTTAATTCCCTCTTAGACTTTAAATTCTGCAGTTTCCACACAATACACCCAACAATTGTGTAATAAAATGTCTGAAATATGTCTAATATATCTGCACAGTGTCTTGCATCATGTTTTAAGGAGTCTCTGTCAAGTTCCAACAGTTAAACTCTGAGAAGCACCACCAGAGGCCTGTTTTCTTGCACTTCATCTTTCTGTATTTGAACACAAGAACACGTCCTGTGTGAACGGCTCTTTATTCATTCTGCGCTGCTGTTTTCAGTATGTATGCTGTCCTGTTGTACTGCCTGTGTCAGAAGCATTCACACAGGACACCCTCTTGCATTTGAAATCAGCTGGATGCAGAAAAACGGGATAAAATATGTGTATCCAGACCTTTTAACTTTTGATATATTTACATTTACGCAGTAGTGCTAAACACTAAATTATTAAGGTTTATTAGCTTCAGTGGTTCCAACTTTTAACATAAAATTACTTATAAATTCCACAATAAATGCTTAATAGTGGAAAATCATTCTTTAGATCATTTAAATGTTCTTCACTTTAAAAAATAATAGTTTTTTTTTAAGAATTGGTGCCTGAAAATGTATGGAAATGCTTAATCTGTGGAATGCATACTGTAACATTTAATTTTAATAATGTATGTGCTGCAGAAAAAAAAAATTTATATGCTTATATATTCACTATGCTTATATATTCATGTATGAGAAAAATAACTTCACAATAAAACATGCTGGGTTACACTATAGACTGTAAAATATATGGACGTAGTATCCGTGACGTCATCCATAGGTTTCTGAACACTGCAAAATAAGCCACAAGTAGGCGTGGCCAACCTTCGCCATTTTGTTCGCATGTCATCCCACCCACGGGGGAATACCAACAAAGGCAAAGAGCGGACAGTGAGCGGAGCTACAGACATCTGCTGGCATTTTGCTTGGATCTGGCTGAGACAGACGTTTCTTTGGGAAAACGCTTATTACGCTTATTATTAAACGCTTATAATACTTTATCACCTGTGACTCGTTTGCATTCTGACCACATGTGCTTGGCTGTACACTAAATCAAAAAAGTGTTTAGACTTTTAAATAAACTGCTGTAACACACTGAGCCACTAAACATTGTTTTTATGACGTTTTTTTTACAGGAGGAAAACACAAATTAAAAACAAACACTTTATAGTATGTTTTAGTAAATGCAGGACTATTAATGAACTCCAACAGAACACTGTATAAAACGCTTCAGATGACTCTTCTAGAGCCTACAACTAATCAATCTGACAGATTCTGGAGTGCTTTACAGCTTTAAAGAAAATATAAATAATAAATGATTTTAAATAAAATAAATACATTTGGTGTATATATATATATATATATATATATATATATATATATATATATAT